CTTTGACTACGGCCACGGTATTGGTATTACCTACAGGTTCAGGGTCTTATACTGTTTATTGTGATGCGTCGCGGATTGGTCTCGGCGTGGTGTTGATGCAGGATAGTAGGGTGATTGCCTACGCGTCCAGACAGCTAAAGGTGCATGAAAAGAACTATCCTATCCATGACCTTGAGTTAGCAGCTATTGTTCATGCCTTGAAGATTTGGAGGCACTATTTGTAATGTGTCCCTTGTGAGATCTACACTGATCACCGAAGTTTGCAGCATCTGTTCAAGCAGAAGGATCTCAACTTACATCAGCGGAGGTGGTTAGAGCTGCTTAAGGATTATGATATCACCATTTTATACCATCCCGGGAAGGCCAATGTGGTGGCCGATGCCTTGAGTCGCAGGGCGGAGAGTTTGGGGAACTTAGCATATTTACCAGCAGTAGAAAGGCCATTGGCACTGGATGTTCAGGCCTTAGCCAACCAGTTTGTTAGATTGGATATTTCTGAGCCGAGTCGAGTTTTGGCTTGTGTGGTCTCCCAGTCTTCTCTTTATGATCGTATCAGGGAGCGTCAGTATGATGACCCCCATCTGCTTGTGCTTAAGGACACGGTTCAGCACGGTGATGCCAAGGAGGTCACTATTGGAGATAATGGTGCATTGAGGATGCAGGGCAGGCTATGCGTGCCCAATGTAGATGGATTGCGTGAGCTTATTCTCCAGGAGGCTCACAGTTCGCGGTACTCCATTCATCCGGGTGCCACAAAGGTGTATCAGGACTTGAGGCAGCATTATTGGTGGCATAGAATGAAGAAGGACATAGTGGAATATGTAGCTCGGTGCCTAAATTGTCAGCAGGTGAAGTATGAGCATCAGCGGCCGGGTGGATTGCTTCAGAAATTAGAGATTCCAGAGTGGAAATGGGAGCGGATCACTATGGATTTCGTTGTTGGACTCCTACGGACTCAGCGGAAGTTTGATGCAATTTGGGTGATTGTGGATAGGCTGACCAAGTCAGCTCATTTCATTCATGTGATGACTGCTTATTCTTCTGAGCAGCTGGCTCGAGTTTATATCCGCGAGATTGTCAGGCTTCATGGTGTACCGGTATCTATCATCTCTGATCGGGGTACGCAGTTTACATCACGATTTTGGAGGGCCGTACAGCAGGAGTTAGGTACTCGGGTGGAGTTGAGCACAGCATTTCACCCTCAGACGGATGGACAGTCCGAACGCACTATTCAGATTCTAGAGGATATGCATTGTGTGTGTGTGTGTGATGGAGTTTGGAGATTCTTGGGATCAGTTCTTGCCACTTGCGGAGTTTGCCTACAACAACAGTCATTAGTCCAGCATTCAGATGGCACCGTATGAGGCTCTGTACGGTAGGCAGTGTCGGTCCCTAGTGGGTTGGTTCGAGCCGGGCGAGGCTAGATTATTGGGTACAGACTTGGTTCAGGATGCCATGGAGAAGGTTAAGGTGATTCAGGATAGACTTCGCACAGTCCAGTCCAGACAGAAGAGTTATGCAGATCGGAAAGTTCGCGATGTCGCATTCATGGTTGGAGAGCGAGTCTTGCTCCGGGTTTCGCCTATGAAGGGCGTTATGAGGTTTGGAAAGAAGGGCAAGCTGAGCCCAAGGTTCATTGGTCCATTTGAGGTGTTGCGGCGAGTTGGGGAGGTTGCTTATGAGCTTGCCTTACCTCCAGTCTAGAAGGAGTCCATCCGGTATTCCATGTTTCTTTGCTCCGAAAGTATCACGGTGATTCGTCTCATGTGTTGGATTTCAGCTCAGTCCAGTTGGACAAGGATCTATCTTATGTTGGGGAGCCAGTGGCTATTTTGGACAGGCAGGTTCGAAAGCTGAGGTCAAAGAACATTGCTTCAGTAAAGGTTCAGTGGAGGGGTCAGCCAGTCGAGGAGGCGACTTAGGAGACCGAGTAGGATATGCGCAGCTGTTATCCTCCTCTTTTCACCACTTCAGTTATGTCTCTATGCTCGTTTGAGGACGAACGATTGTTTTAAGAGGGGGAGGATGTAACGACCCGGCCGGTCATTTTGAGAGTTATAGCACCGATTCCCTATTTACTGCTTCCCTCGTATCTAATCTGCTTATATGACTTGCCGGGAGGTTTCGTTTTGGTTTTTGGAGTGTTTTGGGACACTTAGTCCCTAAACGGAGGCTTAAGTCTTAGGATTTGGACCGTAGTCGAAACTGTGTGAAGACGACTCTGAAATGGAGTTCCATCGATTCCGTTAGCTCCGTTGAGTGATTTTGGACTTAGGGGCGTGTTCGGATTGAATTTTGGAGGTCTGTAGCTTATTTAGGATTTCAATAGCGAAGTCAAATTTATGGAGATTTTAACCAATAGCGAACTTTTTGATATCGGGGTCGGATTCCTATTCCGAAAGTTGGAGTAGGTCCGTAATGTTGAATATGACTTGTGTGTAAAATTTGAGGTCAATCAGACGTGGTTTGATAGGTTTCGGCATCGGTTGTATAAATTGAAGTTTCAAGTTCATTAAGTTTGGATTGGAGGGTGATTCGTGTATTTAGCATTGTTTGATGTGATTTAAGGGCTCGATTAAGTTTGTATGGTGTTTTTTGGTATGTTTGATTGAGGTCCCGGGGGCCTCGGGTTGATTTCGGATGGTCAACGGATCAAATTTGGTTTTGGAAGATGGCTGAAGTTGCTGCACCTGTTGTAATCGCACTTGCGCAAGATTGAGCGCATGTGCGAGCCCACAGATGCGGAAGCTTGAGCGCAGAAGCGGAGAAGCCTGGGAGGCTTGGGATCACAGAAGCGGAAGGGTCTCCGCAGAAGCGGGATCGCAGGTGCGGTCCCTGGTCCGCAGAAACGGAAACCCTGGCCATATGTGGAATCCGCACCTGCGATGGAAATTCCGCAGGTACGGTGTCGCAGATGCGACTAAGACCCGCAGGTGCGAGATCGCTGGGCAGAAAAGGGCCAAGTTCGAGGATTTTATCCCATTTTCAATTTTGGGACTTTGAAAGCTGGGATTGGGCGATTGTTTGAGGGATTTTCAGAGAAAGCTTTTGAGTAACGATTCTTAAGTCCTTTATGGTTATATTCCACTAATTTATGGTTGATTTCACATTATAATTAAGGAATTTGGTTGAGAAATTTGGGGATAAATGGTAGAAGTTCTTCAACTAAGATTTTGGATTTTGATTGGGATTTTGATATCGGATTTGGATAATATTGGTACGAGTGAACTCGTGAGTGAATGGGTGTTCATAATTTGTGACTTTTACCCGATTCCGAGACGTGGGCCCACAGTGACTTTTTAGGGAGATTTTCTAATTTCTTGCTTTAGCTTTGATTTCATTAATTAGATTAGTCTATTATAGTTGTATTTATGATATGTAATTGTTTTTTGCTAGATATGGGCCATTCGGAGTCGGATATTCGTGAAAAAGGCATTGTTACCGATCGATTGAGCTTGGTTCGAGGTAAGTGGCTTGCCTAACCTTGTGTGGGGGAACTCCTCTTAGGATTTGGTACTGTTTTGATATGTGAGCGCCGTGTACGTGAAGTGACGAGTGCATACACAGGCTATTTGTTGTAAAATTTGATTTTTACTGAGTAATAGCATGTTTCTTCTTATTTGAGTTCTATCAGCATGTGTAATTATCCTGTTTAGCTTAGAAAAGCATGTTACTTGTCTTAAATGCTTATCTGAACTCTATGCAACATGCCTAGTGAATTTTCTTGCTTTTCTCTTGACTTGTACTTAGTCTAAACTTTAGGATCTCTGCTGTAACTGTTATTTTTATTGTTTGAGCTGCATATTTATTTTGGGACTACGAAACGGTATTCTGGGAGATCCCCCTGCACATTTACTTTGGGACTACAGGACGGTATCCTGGGAGATCCCCCTGCATATTTACTTTGGGCTACGGAACGGTGTTCCGGGAGATCCCCCTCAATATTTACTTTGGGACTACGAAACAGTATTCCGGGAGATCCCCCTGCATATTTACTTTGCGACTACGGAACGATATTTTAGGAGATCCCCCTGTACATTTACGTTTGGGACTACGAGACGGTATCTCGGGAGATCCCCTATTGCTATTTTGTGTACTGTACTGTTATCCTTTTTGTGATTTTCTTCCGGTTAAATTTCAGTCTTTATTTTACTGCAATATTTTGTTCCGTCTATATATATATATATATATATATATATATATATATATATATAGGGCCCTGACCTGACCTCGTCACTACTCGACCGAGGTTAGGCTTGGCACTTATTGGGTACCGTTGTGGTGTACTCATGCCTCTTCTGCACATATTTTTCGTGTGCAGACCAAGGTACCTCCTACCAGCCTCGAGTTTAGTTGCACGGTTGCTGCTGTTCAGGAGACTTCAAGGTACATCTGCCCGCGTCCGCAGACCTAGGAGTCCCCCCTCTATCCCCTTATGTCGATTCTTCCCTTATTTCTTTACACATTGATGTATAGAACAATTAGAAATTTCTTTGAAGCTTATGACTTACGATGTTCCGGGTCTTGGGAGAGTTGTGTGTTTTTCGAGAGTTGATTATTGTATATGCCGAGCAGCATCTCAAATGCTTATTTAAATTATCTGTTACTGTTAGTTGTTAATTTTTATGTTTTTCATTTCATTTCCGCAAATGTTAGGCTTACCTAGTCGTAAAGACTATGTGCCGTCACGACAAATTCACGGAGGGAGAATTTGGGTCGTGACAATCTAAAGGAGAGTGTAATACAAATTAAATTAAATAGATACTTATCCGCCCAATGTGATATTTACGTCAAAATTAAACAGTTTAACATTAATAGTTTGGAATTAAAGTAAAAATACATACAAATATTACTTAACCATAATTTTTGCTTTCATTTGTTTGGTTAAATAAAGTGTAAGTAAATTTTTTTCATGCAGGTTTGCTTAGCTTAATTATTTAGCACTCTGAATAGAAGGAAACCCAAATTCTTTCCTTTCCCTTAAAAATCCCACACTTTGCGGCATCTCTCAAGTCGGTTTCTCTCCACCAACACAACATTGTCTTTCTATTTCTGGTTTCCTCTCTTTCCTTCTGCATTCCAAAGATTCAGCCTTCAATATTCAAATTTGATAAATTGTCATTCTCGTAGGTATCGGATAAGGTAAAAAGTTGTTACCAAATTATTGTCTTTCTTTTTTTAGTGTGATAAGCTTAAACAATATAAGATCTTTTAACATTGTTTCATGTTGTTTTTGGATTATGCATTAGTATTGTGTCGTTTTCTTTATTAATAATTTGTCAGCTTCAACCTTATATTCATGTATTCCATTCACAATTCTTGTGACTTAAACATCTCCATTGTCCATGTTGCTCTTCATTTTTGCTTATTTTTTGTTATATTGCTGTTGTAGCTTTGAAGTTTAATATGGGCATATTGTTTTCAGGAGATGGATTGGATTGTACAATTAGCCCCATAAAATTACTTTGTTTATCACAATAAAATGTTTATGCTTTGATCCTGTTCCTGAGGCATTCATACATTTATGATGGAATTCTATGCAAAAAAATATATTGTAGGCCAAAGGCATAATAGAACCATCTAGCTTATGATTATGCATGTGTTTTAATGTAATTTGATTATTATTTTTTGTTTTTGTTTTTTAACTAAAATATGAAGGTTGACATAATATGTTATATTTTGTGATTGTTCTATTAGATAAACGAGGTTTTGGGTAAGATAGTAGTCATCAATGGGGCCATTAAAAATGTGAACGCTCAAATCACATGCAAACTGTAATGCTATCTGATTTAAATTTTTTTATATTTTTTTTTCTTTCATTAAGTAGCACATTAAACAAGGTCGCTTGAGATGGTTTTGTTAATCTCATGCATCGACCTCCACATGCACCAGCTGTAGGTATGAACAATGATGAGTGAAGGTATTAAAATGGGACAAGATAGACGTAAAATCACATTAAAAACAGTTATCTCGAAAAATCTACATGTCTCAAATCTTTGGAATTCATGCAAAAAAGATAGGGCACTATAGAAGAAAAACATCTAGGTAGACAATATCAATTAGTTGGAAATATGTTTTAGTCACGTATGTTTAAATTTGGTCCTATGATTTCTATGAGTCTTTTAGCCTTATGAGAGATTTTTATGCCAATAGAAAATGTAGAGAACTTCTAGTACTTCTTATTTTTATTTTGTGTTTGTAAATGTTGGCCTGAGATAAAATTAAATAGAGAAACATGGTCTGTGTTTTTTCTTTTGGGTTTAAATAGGAATGAACTTGAGCATCTGACTCCTGGTTATGCTATTTTGATTTTTCTGATATATAACTATAGAGAATAGTTTCTCTTGTTAAGCATTAAAAACTTGAAAATTGTTGATGGAATTAATATCTTATGCCTTTGTCTTGATTTTCACAGATGTTCATATTTTTGAGGTTTTATACTTGGCATATAACATCCTAGTGACTTTTTTACAGAGGAAATGGGGATAACATTTTCCTGTCCATTTGCCAATTTTGAGGATTTGGATACTCGGGTTGAATCTTATTTGGTAAGAACATTAAGTTTAGGAAGTGAAGATATGAGGACTGCATTACAGCCCAAGAATTTCAATGACCAAATTACTAGAAAATCAATATTGAAGTCTTTTGGTTCTGGAAATATGATCCTTGAGGGAACTCTTACCTATAAAAGGAGAGAATTTGAGGCCAAGATTGCACTTAAGACTCTTGTATCCGATAAGGAGGACAAGAAGATCATTAGGTCAGACATTATATGGAACAGAGAAGAAGTTTCTCCGAAATTGCATAACATATCTGAGAAAGATACTAGGATGCTACCAGCAGAGTGCGGAAAACGTAGAGATCAAGCTGCTGTAAAGTTGCAGAAGACATATAAAAGTTTTCGTACCCGAAGACAGCTAGCTGATTGTGCTGTTCTAGTTGAGCAGAGATGGTATAATAGTTCATAGTTATAGTTATGGAACTTTTGTTGTGTATATTTGTCATGATATTGTCATGCCTTACGCACGTTGAACGTTTTGGTGTATTTTATAGGTGGAAGCTATTAGATTCTGTTGAACTCAAGCACAGTTCTATATCATTCTTTGACACTGAGAAACCTCAAACTGCTGTTTCTCGCTGGTCAAGAGCATTAACTAGAGCTGCTAAGGTATGGATTAACCTTATAGTTTGCTAGCATCCTGTCAGGTTCTTTTCTTTTTCTTTGATTAAGTTATGATTTTAGGACTTTTCATGTGTTGGTAGGTGGGTAAAGGTCTATCCAAAGATGGAAAAGCGCGTAAGCTTGCTTTGCAGCATTGGCTTGAAGCTGTAAGTTCCCTTCTCAAGAACGACGATTAACAATGTCAAAGTTCATTTTTGTGGGATTTTTGTTTATCTTTGTAATTCATCATGATGAACAGATTGATCCTCGACATCGCTATGGTCATAATCTTCGATTTTATTACACCAAGTGGCTCCAAGCTGACAGTAAACAACCCTTCTTCTATTGGTTAGGTTTCTTAGATTAGCAAGAAATTTAAGCAAACAAAGAAACTTCAATTTTGATTTATTAAAATGTGGAATTTCCCCCTTGAATGTTGCATTGCAGGCTGGACATCGGTGAAGGTAAAGAAGTGAATCTTGAGAGGTGTCCTAGATCAAAACTTCAACAAGAATGCATCAAGTATCTTGGTCCGGTGAGTTTTCTCTTCTTCTTTTATAGAGCATCAAATGTCTCCAATGTTATCAGATGCATGCTTGGTTCCATCATGCATCAGGCTAAAGCGGTTTTGTGAAATTATTTTTTTTATATTAATATAAAGAGTAGTGAGTTGTGTCAAATGGCAGTAGATACTCAAAATCATATGAAGTGATGTCTTAGCTCCTATTTCATATAACTTGTTTATAGAAGTATTTGTGCATTCTACTGTAAGAAATTCAATTGTTAACTATTTTTTGTTGGTAATTTGAGAACAAATTCTTCCACTTCTAGATAGATTACACTACTCTAGGCCGTATGAAGTAGGACAAGATGCTCGAGAGCATATGTTGTTTGTAACTCACCAGCTACGAATAATCACAGATAGAGAGGGAGGCATATGAAGTTGTCATTGTGGATGGAAAATTCATATACAAGCAGAGCAGAAGGCTGCTAGATACAAGGGGAGGCCCTCAAGATGCAAAGTGGATCTTTGTGCTTAGCGTGTCCAAGATTTTGTATGTCGGGATGAAGCAAAAAGGCACATTTCAGCATTCAAGTTTCTTGGCTGGTGGCGCCACATTGTCTGCGGGGAGATTAGTGGCGGAAGATGGTGTTATAAAGGTAAGAAAACTGCCATGATGTTTCAAATGTGGTAACATTTCTTTTTCTAAAACCTGATTTTGATGAACAAATTTTTTTTTGCATGAAATAGGCGGTCTGGCCTCAGAGTGGACATTACCTCCCGACAGAGGAGAATTTTGAAGCATTCATGTTATTTCTTAAGCAACAGAATGTTGATGTCTCAGTTGTTCAGGTAGGATATAACACATCTTCACTCTTGAAGTAAATCTAAGCATTAGCTAACAAAGAAATCTTTTTAACACAAAAACTTTTATTCCAAAAGGAGTTGTTATTTCGAGGTTTGTTAGAAAATTTTATGCAAATGTATATATATATATGCGCTAAACTCATACTCATTGTCACAAAGGAGTAGTGGATCAATGATACTTCACACTCTCTAACATGTAACTTTGAATCCGCCTTTATTACTGCCTCGACTCTTAGTGGCTAAATGAGGTATTGATAATTTGTTAAACTTCAATCCTGATGCTGCAGAAATTCACCAATTATGAGGAGGAAGCTCCCTTTATCAGGAAGGAATGCGGTGTCAACATACGTAATAACTTATCAGCCCCAGATTTTAGCCAATCCAATGAAGAGAGCAACCTCAAAAGCTCAGACACAAAGAAGATTGATTCTACTAACAAGGATGACTTAGGGAAGTCCCGAGTATCACGACCCAAAATTGCTGTTGAAATACCAGAAAGGGAGGGCATTCTCGAGTTGTTTAAGGAGACTGGCCAAGAACCAAAAGACAGCATGTTGCAGCCTGTGGAAACTCCAGCAGATGGATATGAAACACCAGATGAATATTTATCAGATACGGAATGTTCAGTTTCAAAGAAGAATTTATTTGATCATGAAAATGAAGACGAGAACAAAGAACCTGTCCCCGAAGAAAAGATAATCAAGAGAATAAATTCACATATAGGTAAAAAGTCATATCAATTGGCTCATCAATTTTCTTGTAGATGGACAACGGGAGTTGGACCTCGTATTGGATGCATGAGGGACTATCCATCCGAGCTCCAATTTCGCGTTATGGAGGAGGTGAATTTGTCTCCAAGAACTGCATTTTCAACTCCCTCAAGATCTGCTCGTCGTAATACTCCTACCATCTTTTCTAGAGAAGCAAATGAAGGCAAAAGACCTAGTTTTGAACTGGTGGTATTCTCTGAATAAGATACTCCATCAGTAAAAAGAGATGCAAGTTTTGAGTGATTTGTAGTTTCAGAGAAATACAATTATTCTCACAGTAGGGAATTTTCTGCTAGGATTTCTCCTTCAGCATTTCTCTATTCCTTACTAATCGAGAAATTGCAGTTTTGTTTGTTTGTCTCTTTTCCCTCTTGAATCATTTTCCCCCCCTGTACAGCAAGATGTAATTATTCTTTAGTCCATTCTTTTGAAGATTATTTAGAATAAAAGATCAAATAAAGTTTTTTTCTCTCAATTGTGTTCTTCTGAATATTGATTATCCTTTAATTCAAAAATCTATATGGACTTCAGGAAGTTTCATTCCTCTATGCAAAGTGCATGGAAAGCAATCAAGTTTCTGTAAGATAAATGAGTACTTATGATCAAAATAAAATTAGAATGACAGTTAAAGGAATTACCAAGAGGTTAATAACATCTACCAATAATATTCTTAGTTTTTTACTGTTGAGGAAAACTAACCCTCTGATCAGTATAAGCTATTAAGGAGTCTCTAACATATATAAAATTTGAAAGAAAAGCAAATGAAAAATTCCCCTAAAATATACTCCCTCCGTTCAAATTTATGTGAACCTGTTTGACTGGGCATGGAGTTTAAGAAAATATAAAGATTTTTGAAATTTGTGGTCTTAAACAAGTCTAAAAGGGGCCCAAAGTATTTGTGTGGTTATAAAATCTTCTCATTAAGGGTAGAATTGTAAGTTTAAGCTAAATTGTTACCCAAATTTAGAAAGGGGTCATTTTTTTTAAACGGACCAAAAAGAAAATAGGTTCACATAAACTGGAACAGAGGGAGTATTCTCTAATGAGTCACAATATCCCATCATTCACCATTTAAAGTATATTATGCCCCAATAGCTATTTGAAAAAAAGCAAAAGTTATCATCAAAACCTCATATATACTTGTTAGTAGTACTAAAATTTTCACTCATTTTGAGCAACTACATAATGTCTCTTAAGAGAAGGGCCTTAATTATAGACCAATCAAAAAAAATAAAAAAGGAAAATCCCATGTAAAAATGACAATTTTAGCAATTAATGTTGTTCAAATTCTAGCAAAGATAAAAACTAGGTGGTTTGTTTCTATATATCTAAGTTTGGCTGGATAAAACTATTCAATATCAATGTTTGTGAGAGACAAGTACCATATCCCAAATTAGGCCGTATTAAAAAAAGAATATACAAGTTTACGAATTGCTTTTTTTTTTTTTTTTTTTTAATTTTATTATATATATACTCCTGTATATATCTTTTCTATTTTGTTGTCTTTTTTTTTTTTCTGACGTAAGTGTCCTTAAGTCTACAGCGTTGACAAGGGACACAAAAGTAATTTCAAAAAGCTTCACTATATAAAAATACTCTTTAGGGTTTTACCTCAAAATTCATTAGCGCTGTGTGAGCTTTTGTTGGCCGTCGTAGCTTTCAACTCGTTCTTCCGCTTTTCCAAGGTAAGCTATTTTTCTTTTCCCCCAAAACAAATCATGTTGTTTCAGTATTCTGTTTTTAATGTTTTTTCAATCAGCTGTTTTTCTTTTGGTCAAATTATATAATAGGATTCAATCTTTTACCTCAACTTGTATTTGTGTGATTGATCTAATAATAGATGTCTATTGTTATTTGATTTTTCTGACTGAATGTTGCATGCTCATAAAATGGGTATTTGAAAAACAAGATTGCATCAATCAAAGACGAAGGGAACATGTGTATCAAAATGACAAAATCATTGTTCTTTTTATATTTTAATTATCTCATTGCTTAGGGTTAGTGCCTTAAATTTTCATTGAAAACAAGAACTTGTTTGTGTGGAAAAAAAGTGAAGTCTTGCCTTTTTTTTTTCTCTCTTTTTGTATACTTACGGGAATTATAAAAAATTATTGCCTTATGGAAAGAAGTTTCATTCTATGCATACAAAAATTGTTCATAGCAGGCTGATAAGGAGGTATATAAGGAATTAGCTTGTAGAGAAAAGAACCATTAACCTAGGTTGAAAACTTGTGAAATGGATACACTCCTCAGCCTAGTTTCGTCATTTTAGTGATTTTAGTTGGAAAGGATATGTGAGACCTACAATAATGGAAGCTCGTAACTTTGTGTTTGTGTCCGGTTACCTCCAATGCTTATTTTCTGTCATTAAAAACAAGAATTTATTAGTCTGAAAAAAGGTAAAGTCTTGCCTTTAAGTGCACCCATGAGGTTCCTGGCACACTATAAACGATTGGGTGTAGGTTCTTTAACTTTTCATCAGTGTTATCAAAGGCGAAAAGCGCAAAAAAGCTCTAAGGTCCGTTGGGGCTTTAAGCGCAAAACGCAAATAAAGCGTGGGCTTTAAAGAAAAAAGGCACAACGAGAGAAAAAGTAAAAATATGCACAGTAGTCCAAGAATAATCATTATAAGCATGAATAACAAATATATGGATAAAGAAATTAAAAAAAAAATCATGATAAAGTGAAATATCAATTGTTTAAGGTCGCCTTTTCAGGATTACACTCATTGGCAAGGAAAAGTATGTGTTAGAGCTTTCATGCGACACTAAAGCGCCCACAAAGCGAGGCGAAGCGCTCAACGTGTTTTGAGCCTCGCTTGAGGGCTTAAGCGCGCTTTAAGCTCGCCTTTGACAACACTGCTTTTCATATGCCACTTTTACCTGGAATTTTTCCCACCATATTATTTAAAACTATTACATTGTGGAATAGATGGATTCTTGATACAAGAATAGTTCAGAGCAAACTGTTCAGAAGGAGGTGTATAAGGATAAAAACTTTGAAGTCGATCTGTTCCTTAGCCCTATTTTGGTCATCTGAGTGCTTTTTTGTTGCTCTAAGATATTTTCATAAAATACAGTACCAAGGAGGTACCATAAAATACAAAAAGATATCAGCAGCTGTATTGTTGGAAATGCATATGTGGACCTGCAGTAATGGAAGCTTCTTCTAAGTTACTTTGTGTTTGTGTCCAGTTACCTCCAATGCATATTTTCGGTATCACTGGTGTGTGTCATGTGACTCATGTCTGTTTGCTGTATCATTATATACAGGTGGCAGATAGATGAAAAAACCCGTATAATATATTTAAATTAAGCTGCACCTATTGTGGCTGATGAGTGATGGGCACAAATGTTCTGAACTTACTGATTTGAAGTATTGATCTGCCTCTGATAAAATGCTTTAGTATGTCAACACGTTGAGTGTTGTTTCTTTTGCTTATTGATGGTTCTTAAGTTATTAGATTGCAAGGTTTTAGAGTGCTTTGCTTCTTTCTACTAATGTTTTATTTGACCTCCTCCAAGTTGTTTTCCATTATTTAACTATGGTTTCTTACTAATATATTCTGCATTTGCAGAATGGAATCTGCAACCAAGCATGCGATTGTGGTGAAAGTCATGGGTCGTACTGGATCCAGAGGACAGGTGACTCAGGTGAGAGTCAAGTTTCTTGATGACCAAAACAGGTTTATCATGAGAAATGTCAAGGGACCAGTCAGAGAGGGTGATGTTCTCACACTGTTGGAGTCTGAGAGGGAGGCCAGGAGATTGCGCTGAGGGCATAATTATGAATGCCACATTGAAATTGCCTTGAGTACTTGTACTGGCTTTGATTTAGTCTTCGGTTTTGTTTGCTCAGACTCGTAATTTTCAACATGTTTTTAACGATGATAGTCGTGTAATTTTGGTGCAGTTCAAGGTTTTGGAATAGTTTTTATGATAATATTTTGCTAGCTTTTGCATCAATGGTAATAACAAATTATTCTAGTTGTTTGTGTGTGGGCTAGATTGACATCCGTCTATCATGTCTGAAACCTTTTCTGCGGTGTTCCATTTCTGTGAATTGGTTCTGTAGAAGCGATGGCTTTCTTCTGTTGAATTCATACTATGTTTGTTTTCTGTTGCTGCTTTTGTTCTTGATAAGATTGTTAATAGTCCATAATGCCATTCAAACAAGCTGCCTTAAGTTATTCAGATGTAGAAGTTCAGTAGCCGTAAATATTCAATCCAAATCTAAGGTTGATTCAGGCAGGTTGAGCAATAATTTCTGGACACTTTTTTTGGGGGTAATTAAAGATTTTATATACTGCACATGTTCTCTATATTAGTTTATTTGTTATGAGGATTGTAGGATTAAATGTAATTATAGTTTTGCATTATTTTCAGTTATAAAAGAATCTATTAAGGCCATAACTAAATTAGTAGAACTTAAAGGAGATATCTATATCGATATCAGTATCTATATCTATATATTTATATCTATCTATACTATATTATGCAACTGTATCTCACTTATCAATTTGGCTTTTGGAGTTAAGAGTTTGGTAGCACAGACGCGGTACTTCTCTTCTATGCACTTTAATTGGATATTTCATGGTATATTCTTTTAGGCATATGAGAAATCTTATGAACTAGATCTCTTCCCATTTTTTCAGTTTTATTATTAACGGATTCAATGGGGAAAAAAATACTCAACTTTCTAGAATGGTAATCTAGAGATGCAATGGGATACAACAGAATTATGAATCCTTACTACATGCAGAATTTTATTGCTTTAGCGTACTATATAAGACGAGTTTATAATCTTTTATAAATATTTCACTTGAAAGTTCTTTTGTGGTTTAACTGGTTAATTAAGTTAAACATATTTCACGACCAATCATATTGTCTTTGCTATTTGTGTTGCTAAAAATCTCTAAAAGTTTGGAATCATAACCAAATATTATTTAATTTGACGCCATATTGTTATTAGCATTTTCTTAAGATTATCGAACTGAATGTATGTCTTGATAATGTTATTTTTGGAAAAGAACATCATGTAATTTGACGTTTGACAATCCAATCTTTGATACATATTAACATTCGTGGTTACTAAAAATAGTTGTCTCAAATTATTTATCATTTTAGAAGTTCAAGACAAAATTGATTGTTTTTTTTCCTTTTCTACCCTTAGTAATAATTGTTCTTGAAGATGGAGATAACACATAAATAGAATAAATATTCAATGAAGAGAGAATATATCTTAAGACATAATCCAATCCTTTTCCTAATTAATATTTCTTAAGGGGCGTGTCAAAAAGAAACACGACACATAATATGAGACAGGGGGAGTAATTTTTATTTTGTGCCTACTAATTCTGGATAGTTGAAGCTTGATGTGTTTTTAAAAATGATATAATATTTATTCTAAAGTATCTTTGAAATCCAAGATTGTTTTTACTAGGGTACTCTTAATTTAGATTTCTAAAAATCTGTG